AACAGAAAACAGCCTGGGCAGGGAGCTAGAGATAGTGAGCAGAGCGGAAGAGGGAGTGTGACCTCTGGTCAGCTTTCTCCATCCTGATTCTGGGGTTCTCTCCTTTCAGGACTGCTTTCCACCAGGCTCCTTTGATGAGTTTAGGGATGATCCTTTCTCTTCCCTTCTTGAAGGCACAGCACTGTGAAAGTCCTAACAGCCTAGGTGTATATAGCAAAAGTGCTTTTATAAATGTGTTTACACAGGAAATAGAACAACTACTCCCTGGGGTCTTCACCGCCCACCCCCCACCCCTGCCCCATTTGTGTGCTCACATGTTTGCTTTTTCAGATTAGAAAGCTGAGGCTCTGGACAAATCTAATTATTCAAGGTAATCAAGGTACTATCTCTGGTGAGTAGGAAAGCTGGGATTCAAAGTCAGGTGTTTTGAGCCCTTGCTAGAGCTTCTGCCCTACCCCTCAGAGGTACCAGGGCATATTCTGGGACTGTGTTTTATTTATCTGTTTTTGTATCCCTGCCTAGTACCATGTCTGGCATCTAGTGTGTATTCATTAAATGTCTGTTGAATACAAAACTGGGATTTATTGTCTAAAACTATCATTTGTGAGGAGGAAGATGCTATCTGGAATTTTGATGCCTTGCAGAGTTCAGGGAAATGGAGTTTAAAGCCCTTGGGGAAAGTGCCACAGCAGCCATTTGGGAATATTCTGGGTTTTTTTTCAAGGTAGACACTTCAGTGTGGGTAGGACACGCCTCACGAGTCAAGGACCTGCTGAATGGAGGCACGTTTCTGTGTGCATGGGCCACTGCTTATCTCCTGCTCTGTGCCCACCTTCTATTTTCAGTCTCAAATGTCGCTGAGGACAGCTGGCTTCCTGTCAGGCCTTCATGGGGTGATGGGTGGCAACCCAACCCCACTGCACCCTATCACTGTACTATAGAAGATCAGATATCTTTTTTTTCCCACTGTGGAAGGGACTTTATTTTTTCATTTTCTATTGAAGTATAGTCAGTTATGCTGTCAATTTCTGGTGTACAGCATAATGTTTCAGTCATACATATACATCATGTATTTGTTTTCATATTCTTTTTTCATTTTAGATTACTACAAGATATTGAATATAGTTCCCTGTGCTATACAGAAGAAACTGGTTGTTTATTTATCTTTTACATGGCAGTTAATATTTGCAAATCTCAAACTCCCAATTATCCCTTCTCACCCTCTTTCCTCCCCGTAACCATAAGTTTGTTTACTATGTTTATGAGTCTGTTTCTGTTTTAAGTTTCTGTAGATAAGTTCATTCGTGGAAGACCAAACATCTTATAATGAGATAGATCCCCTCACAGCCCTTCTTAGGGACTGCCAGATTTCTGATTCCCTGTTCTGTCTGTGCACATGATGCAGGAAATTCGCCCTTAAGGAAGCTTAAGGAAGACTGAAAGGCAGCTAACAGGTGAGGGCTGATTAGCCCAGAGAGGATGTCTTTTTAATACCTAACACCTACAGCTGCAGCAAAGTCAGCCACAGTGATAAGGACAAAAAACAGGAGAAAGGCTGTCTTTAAGAAAAAACAAAAAAATTAAAAAAAAATTAACAAGCAACCAAAAAAATCAGGAGAGTACAAAGAAAAAACTTGCATCATTTTCTGCCCCAGAAGATAATCATTGTTAAGAGGAGGGTTTTTTTTTTTTAAAGTATGATGTAATTACTGGAGCAATTACTTTTTAATGATTGCTTTCCTTTATCTTAGAAAGATAAGTGGACTAAAATGGACAGAGGGCTTCATTTTGGACAACTTGATCAGTTTTTTCTATACTGAACAGGGCCTGTAAAGAGCAGGAAATCCAACACCATTTACAAAGCTGTCTCATGAGAACTGCTCATCATTCAAGAGGCTGCCTCTTAGAAGAGACATACAATGACAATTATGCAGTGTAGAATTTACACTTTGTAGAAATTTATAACAGTTAGTAATCTAGGCAAAGACCAATTTCTCCATCTCTTCCTGTTTGTCTTCTGTCTTCTCTATTATTTACAAAATCTTCTACCACATAATTCCACATTTCCTGTTTTACATCAGTTATTCTGTATCTTATGTTCCTTTTCTATCTCTGCTCTCCTCCTTGAAAAAAAGGCCCCAAACTCTTTGACATTTTGGTCACAGCTCTCCTTTCTCTCATGGTACATGTTTTCCATCTAGCTGTTTTCTGTCTCTCTCTCTGGACTTTGTCCACTGAGCCTCTTCATACACTGTACAATAAGCTGTCATGTATGTAGGAGATTCTAATCTCAGCTAGATTTTCCATGTTAGTTAATGCCTTCTTTTATGTTTTTCAGCATAGATTTCCAGCATGACGTTTATGTCAAATAAAAGTAATACTTTTAACAATGTCTCAAAGATCAAACAAACACTGAATAAAATTATGGAAACTGTAAATCACTTAAAAGTAGTCTGTTAATGTAGTTTTATTAATTTTCCAAAATCCCAAACGGGGCCACACCTCTCTGAAATAGGAGGATTAGCTCTTTGAGCTCCCCTCCCCACAGCTGCTCTGTGCTCCAGACGCTTATGTCCAGTCCCAGCTAACGTGCTAAGGGATCTATTTCTAAAATTCCTTAGGTGCTCTGGAAAACAGAGAAAGCTGTTTGGAAAGCTATGTTATGTACCTTCCCATACACAAGTAACAGAACAATTCATAGAAAACATACAGAAGGGCAGAAAAGAGAAATGATTTCCCAGGGGCTAATTGATTATTAAGAGAACTCAAGAATGTGCTATTTACCGATTTGTGTGTTTAGCAGACGGTCAGCGAGGAACTGAAAGGAAAGGAAAGACAGTAACTAAAAATACTGGAGGGGAGCCTCTTACACCCCCCAAAATACTCCTCGTGAAACTTTCTCCGGCTTAATGCACCCTTTGCTTTGAATTTTTTGCCCCGCCCCAGGAGAGGTGTCACCTCTTAATGACAACGCTAATATATAATAGACAATAAATGATAATTTGTGGGTGACCAAGGATCAAGAACACTCTCAGAACCTTCATTAAAACAACAGCACAATTACAACCTCAGGAGGTATGCTATTATTAGATGTTTATGTACCATCGTCAATGTGCACAGGTAAGTTTTTTTTAAGCCCCATCATTGAATATTTATTTTTATTACAGAAAAATTTCAAGGTACACAAAAATAGAAAGAATAGTATAACGAACCCTCTGTATCCATCACCCAGTTTCAACAATTCGACTTTTTGCCAATCCTGTTTCAGCTGTCCTTTCCATTTTCCCCTCTTGGTCGGAAAACTTTAAAGCAAATATTAAAGATGACAGCATTTTACTCGTAAATATGTCAGTAAGCACCCCCAAAATTTTACAGTAACTTGATTGATTATCGCAAAATGGACCTGCACAAAAAAATACAAAAGGAACATTGAAAACCCTCCCGTGGTGGAAAGACTTGTCACAAACGTTATCTAGCTGTTCTGGTTCTTTGGAGGTGAGGGCCGAGCGTGGTATTCCTCCGGGAGGGGCGGAGGTGGCAGAGGGAAGAGACTGACCCTAGGCACAACTGAATGCGTTCCTCAGGAGCAGGCCACCCAGGCATGCGCAATCCGGACCCCAGAGTTGCTAAGGCCCCATGGAAGACAGAGGCTCCGGATACAGTGACAACCAATCACAGGGCTCAAAGGCTAATCAATTAGCCAATCCGGATTCGAGAGTGAATCAGCTTCAGCAGTCAGCTCGCCCCACCAACATCCAATCGGGGAGCCAGCTACTTTGGGCGGACTTTTCAAAACAGCGAAAACAAAACAAATCAGGGACCTTTAAAAGGTGCAATGAGACCAGAAACTATCTCCTTCCGCCTCTCACTCCTATCACTCCCCTTTTCTTCCCCTTCTGGGTCAACCCCAGAATAAAGCCGACGCCCAGATTCCACCCTTCGCCCAGGAACCGAGAGGGAGGGGTGGCTCACTAAAGCAAAGGCGAGCTGAGGAGGCCACAAAGCTGGCTGGGGCAGAGACTTAGGGGCGGGACTCTTTTTCAAAGACTGTTGCGGAAGCGGCGGATCCCTCCGCGGGGAGTCACGTGGCCCGCCCCCTTGGGGGCGTCGGAGACTCAAAACAAAAACAAGGGGTTTGCCTGGGCCTCCGCGGTGGCGGCGGCTGAGCCCGTTGAGGGGCAGGGCTAGAGGGGCTAGCGCTGCGCCCCAGCCGGAGGGTGGGCGCGCGGGGAGCGGGATGAAGCCGGGGCTGTGAGGCCGAGGGGGCGGTGGCAGGGAAGAAGGGTCGGATGCTGGTCCAGGGGCACTGCTGAAGCGGCGGGTCCTTGACCTCGGAGACAGGTCCGGACGCCCCCGCTGCGCCCAGTCGGCTCCGACCGCGGCGCCGCGGCCCGGTGGAGGCGCATCTCCAGCACGGTGAGTGGGCCCACCCGGGATCGCGGAGTTTCTTTGTTCGCGATCTGGACCACAGGGGTCGAGTCAGAGTGCCCATCCCTCAGCCTGGGAAGCGATGCCGGTCCTGCCCTCAGCCCTGGGTAGTGGGCGCCTGGAGGCGGAGATATGCTGGTGGGATGGATGGAGGGGTCGAGGAGGCTGAAGACAGTTCTTTGGTGTACCCCCTCCTCCCCTTCATTTAACCACTGGGCCTCGCTGGGGTGGTTCTTCTTGGATTGACAGCCTTGGGTCTCCGCATAGTTGCGGAATCCGGGCATCAGTGGATGGACGGGCGACCTCTGGGAACGAGGAGGGCTGGAATTGTTCCCAGACTCCGACCCGGTGGGCCGCGCCACCTTAGTTCTCTCTGGGATCGGGTCTCCCTCTCGGGTTGTGTACCGAGTAGGCGCTGCCGAAGCGGCTGGGGAAGGCTTGCGGGCTGGACTCCAGCGAGAGGGGTTTCTGGAGCTGGGCTCCGCGGGAGGGGCGGGGCTCGGGAGTCTCCTCCCTCCGGTTCTTTGTTCAGTCGCGAGACTTTCTCTCCCTTCCCCCCCACCCCATTGTGCAAAGCCCCTGCCCACCGGATCCACTGCGATCGGTGTCCCTGGTGCATTCCTCTGGGCAGAAGCCTTTCCCCCCAACGACTTCAGCTGGGGCAGACCGTCCGGACACCGCCACCCGGGGACAGTTTCCTGTTTGTGAAACGGCGGGGAGGCCGGAGCTGGCCGGTCTGACCCAGGGCTGGCCGGCGGACGTGACAACAGGCCCTCCCCCTGCCACACCTCCCTGGCGGTGGGGGAGGATTGCATTGGGGTTTGGCTGGACGTGACTGGTCCCCTCACCCGCTCCGCGCCTGGGTGTGCTGGGTTGCCCCTCGCTGGAGGTACTGGTACCATCTCTTTGTCCCCTCCCCCTTCCCCCAGCCACCCCCGGGATACTCTCTAACTGTGTGATGTATTTGCTGCAGATGAAGGATTTGGGGGCAGAGTACTTGGCCGGTCGTGAAGGGGTCCAGCTCTTTGGATTGTTGAACCTCTACTTAGAACAGGAACAGAGATTCCAACCTCGAGAAAAAGGACTGAACTTGATCGAGGCCACCCCAGAGGTGAGTTCCCAGGAAAGATAACTTGCTCCAGCAGCTGATAGGGCTCGGGGAGATAACTTTAAAAACAGTTTTTTTTTTTAAATGAAGACTAAAGGTTGCAAAGTTTCTTAAAACCAAAATTGGTCTTCCTAGAGTACTAAGATAAATCTTAAGTCAGGGTCATTCTTTTGTTTCTTAGCAAGAATGAGAATGGTACTAACTCTAGGAAAGTGTTTTTCATGTTTGGCACCCCCAGCCTGCAGCTTCTCTGTGGGACATTCCCTGGGAATTGAGCAGTTCATTTGTGGAAATACCCTCTGCCTATGCAATACTTCTGTATAGTCAGCTCTTAAATGCTATTTTTAAAAAAAGAAAACAAGCAAGGAACCTTCTGTATATACATTACAGGGGAATTGAATTATATTTGCTATAACCCTATGGAAGTGTGGCAACAGTTAACTTTATATTGAATTGCTGAATGTATTTTACAATGTATGTTTTTCAAAAAGCAATGATACATACACATTTTGTATCTGATAAAGTGTAGTGCTTTAGTTGAAATGATAACACTTTTTTTTCGTTTTCTTTTTTAAAATTTACTTTAAATTTTTTTTGGTTTTTTGGAGGGGGAGATAATTAGGTTTATTTATCATTATTGTTTTTTAATGGAAGTACCAGGGATTGAACCCAGGACCTCATGTATGCTCAGCACACACTCTACCACTGAGCTCAGCACATACTCTATCCTCTCCCCCTTTTCTCCCGTTTTCTTGAAGATTAAGGGGAAAACACTACCTTACTTGAATCTGTGTGTATTATTCATCTAGTTCTAAGACAGTCATAATCATTGGCTCTTGGTTTTTATTGCAGAATGATAACACTTTGTGTCCAAGATTGAGAAATGCCAAAGTAGAAGATTTAAGGAGTTTAACCAACTTTTTTGGATCTTGCACTGAAACTTTTGTCCTGGCTGTCAATATTTTGGACAGATTCTTGGCTCTTATGAAGGTATTTAATCATTTTTATATAAAATGATTTTTTTATATCCAGTGCCTAGCACAATGCCTAGCATACAAAGCTTCAAAAAATATTTGGCAAATGAATGTAACAATGTCACCATACATGAACATTTTTAATAATTGGAATTGTGAGCTTTAGTCCAGATTAAGAGACCACAAAAGTTAAGTGTATTGTTGTATCTTAAATTAGGTTTTGCTGAACCTCTTTATGTCCCTTCTTGTTGAAGCTGTGGCAAAAAAGATTCCTGTTTTTTAGGTATTCTCTATATATGCCGTTCTCAAAATAAGGTTTTCCATTTTCATCTCCCATTATGTTTCTGTTGAACCTAGGTGTTTTTTTAAACATCTGAAACATGACAAATGGAAGTATAGCACTGTATTCAAGGTGACCTATTGCCTTCCCTATGAGGAGCCTTTTCAAAGCAGGGGACCACAGTCTTAATAACAGTTATCAGCAACTGTTAGAAAAATGTGGTGATTCTTCTGCCAGTAGGATTGCTGTCAGCTGCTGGGTCAGTTTTCAGGGCACTGAAAAGAAAAGGGCAGCCATCTGTCCATGGTAGCTTTTACATATGCTCCACTCTGCACATCTGATGCAATATCTCTTTGGGGAAATTTGCATTGAAGTAGGGGATGATTCTTAAATAGATAAGATAAAAAGATAAGTAGAATGTATTATTTTTATATCCAAAGAAGTATATTTTCTTGGTATTGAAAGGCTTGATTTATTCTGGGGGGGGGGGTTGTACTATTTTGTATTTCATAAGTTTGAAATACAGAGTATATAATGCAGTATTAGAAACCTAGCTTGTGAACTTGGATTTAAATTTTTTACCTGCATTTAAAATTAAATAATGTAAATGCTCAAAATGTCTTTTGTTTTTCTAAAGGTAGGTTAAGACAGTTTAAAATGTAAAAGCAATTAAATATTGTGTGTAAAGGTAAAAGCAGGGAAGCAGCTTGATTGTATTCTGTCTTAGGAGTAGGGGCTCATTACAATATTCTTTCAAGTGTCTGCTTTGCCAAATCAAAGGGACAATTGTTGGAAGAAGCCTTTTGTTCTTTGTTTTCCAGGTGAAACCTAAACATTTGTCTTGCATTGGAGTCTGTTGTTTTCTGCTGGCTGCTAGAATAGTTGAAGAAGAATGCAATGTCCCATCCACTCATGATGTAATCCGGATTAGTCAGTGTAAATGTACTGCTTCTGACATAAAACGGATGGAAAAAATAATTTCGGAAAAATTGCACTATGAAATGGAAGCTACTACTGCCTTACACTTTTTGCACTTATACCATACTATAGTACTTTGTCATACTTCAGAAAGGTCAGTGGGGTTATAAATTAAAATTGTGTATTTTTGCATTGCCATAAGTAACAAAGACTTAGAATGCTGATGAAATTTACATTTTTATTCCCTCCCGACCTTAAGCTTGGACTTCTGGTGACAATTTTTTTTTCTTTGACAAGTATTTAAAATTGTTTAAATCTTTAGAAGTTTAATAAATAAATATTCATACTTTCTTTTCATCATATAGGAAAGAAATACTGAGTCTTGACAAACTGGAAGCTCAGCTGAAAGCTTGCAGCTGCCGACTTACCTTTTCAAAAGCAAAAGTAAGTCAGTTCCTTGCTTATCTCACTCACAGTTTCTGTTTTGAATTAAAAAAATACTTAACTTTTCTTAACTTTTTTTTTGTAGCCATCTATATTAGCTTTGTGCCTTCTCAATTTGGAAGTAGAATCTTTGAAATCCATTGAATTATTGGAAATTCTCTTGCTTGTTAAAAAACATTCCAAGGTAAATATCTTCAGTTCTTAATCTTTAAAGCAAGTTTCTTCCTAGTGTTGTTTTATCTTTTTCTGTGGTCCCTTAAACATTAAGTAACACTTTGTGAGGTTCTTAAGTGTTGATGTTCTCAAAATGCAGCTTTGACCCAGACAGTATTAAGCTGGAAGGGAATTAGTCAGGCTTCTTTTTACATGCAGGTGTCCCTTGTGTAGTATTCTTGCTAGTTGATAATGACAGCGGTCTACATTGCCCCGTGCACATTGTTCTAAAACACGTACTAAGAGGTAGACTTAGTAAGTAACACTAATGGCACCCTATTGCATCTGTAGGACTGAGTCATCGTCCCATTAATAGGTTACCAAAATAACATCAGTTATGTTTTTCTTTTTAAACTCCTTCATCAGACCAGCCCAATAAATTTTTTTTCAGTTGTAACGAGGTGTAAAACAAACGAAAGCGTAGTTCTTTTTCTTAAGCTAATAGTCCAGTTGGAGAAGTATGGAACTTAATATGAGGCAGGGCGTTCTGTCATTTATTAATTCTGTGTGGCAGTGCTGTATGGTCTTTGTCTCTGAACATAGGGAGTACTTCAGGGTTTTGCTAGCAGAAAAGTAGGATAGACCGCGAGAGGCACGATGACTGGGAGCCTGGTTGTACCAAAAGAATTTTGGACAGTGAAAGTTTGGGCAGCAAAGGCTTACGACCAGGAAGTTGATAGAGTCATTGAGAGTAGGTTTGAAGATAGAATGTCTAGGTGAAATCGCAAGCAGGGTTAAGGATATCCAACTCAGTGGGTTTGGAAGCCAAGCGTGAAAATGAGGCAGGGAGTTACGAATGACCAGATTTGGACCTAATGATGGAGGGAAATTTGAGAGAAATTAATTTGTGATCAAAAAAGTATGATGTTAGGTCCTTGTGTACCTTTCAGATAGGGAGATGTCTAGCAGATATTTGGCAATCTGGAATAAAAATTCAGAAGGCAAATCATAGTTGGAGATTGAGATTAGAAATTTCTGATGAGGAAATAATAGTTGAAGCCATAAGAGATTTGTGAGAGTCCTTTGCTTAGGGGTCAGTTAAATCTCTGGGTTTTCAGCATTGGCAGTTTCCCCATGAGGACCCAACTGAAGGAAGGTACACTAGACAGATATACAAGCACTGTCAGGTTGGAAAGAAGTTTTCTAGAAGGAGGTGGTCAGGAGTATTGAATTTTGATGAGAGGCCCGGTATAATGAGAATTGGTAGGTGATGTCCGGAGAATAAGGAGTGGTAGAAGCCAGATCGCACGGGAATTAATATGTAGCTGGATTAGGTGGAAATGGAGGCAAATGATATAAAATCATCTGTTTGTGGTGCAAGTACATGCACTGTGAAGCATTTGGTTTTAACAGATAACTTCCAGCTTTTGTTTAACCACGAGTTTATTAATTTGAATATAAACCTTTTATAATAACGTTACTTGGAAACATCTTCAGTGATGATTCCTTGAAATAAATTTGGGTACTCCCCAGTGGTGGAGGAACTGTGCCCTTCTGGGGAAATTCCTCTTCTCTCATGTTGCTAACTTCTCCATTTGCAGATATCTGGTGTCTTAATGTAAATACGTAGCCATCTGAATAATACTGTTACAGAAACCTAAATTGTGTTGAATTCCTTTGCATTGAGACTATCAGAGAATATACTTGATAACTGATTCATTAACAGACCTAGTGTTTTTAGGTCCATGTGTTTTCTTAAAATAGGCAGAGCATTCTATGTATTGAATCCTACGTACATTTTTTATTACCTATGTTGCTCCTCCCCTAAAGCAGCAGTGGTTACCAAATTTTGACTGCACATCAGACTTACCTGGGGAGCTTTAAAAATTCTTGATGCCCAGATCACACCCCATATCAATTAAATAAGACTATCTCGGGGTGGGAGCCAAGCATCACTATTTTTAATGCTCACACGGTGATTGCAAGGTACAGCAAGTTTTAGGAACCACTGTCATAACCTGTTCATTTAAATATTTTTTTCAGGTTAATGACTCTGAGTTCATTTACTGGAGGGAGTTAGTTTCTAAATGCCTAGCCGAATATTCTTCTCCTGAATGTTGCAAACCAGATCTTAAGAAGTTGGTTTGGATAGTCTCAAGGCGCACAGCCCAGAACCTCCACAATAGCTACTACAGTGTTCCTGAGCTGCCGACCATCCCGGAGGGGGGTTGTTTTGATGAAAGTGAAAGGTAAGAAGGCTCCTTGACTACTTAGACTCAGCCAGACTAAATGTTACTGATTTTTGTATATCAGAGCCCCTACCTCTAACAGCATTATTTCTTCAGGTGACAGAATTAACCAGAAGTAGTTTTATTAAAATACTTAATAATTTGGAAGTGTACTTCCCCACTGTTTTTCTTTATTAAAATCAAACAAACAAAGTCCAGCATCCTGTACATCATTTCCTCCTCAGGGCTTATAACTGGAAGTTTGTCCTTTCGGCCACCTCCCCCTGCACCCTTGCCCCCCAGCAACCACCCGTCTGTTCTGTGCATCTATGGGTTCTGTTTTTTTGGTTTTTGATTCCACATACAGTATGAGATACAGTGTTTGTCTTTCTCTGACTTACTTCACTCCTCCCCCTTTTAAAAACTGGTTATTTGCCGTCTCCTTTGGTCTTTGAAATACAGTTTAGTTAAAAACAACATCAACTGAAACAGCATTCTGGGCTTTTAAACAGTATGAATTCCTATTACGTTACTGTGGCAAGAGGCTGCGGGTTAAATGACTGGAAAATAAAGGGAACTACTACCACCATCTTGGTAGACTTTTATAGATATGTTTAGGTTTGCCAAATGCCATTGTCTTATTCAGAGTTTATTTTGTTTAGTAAAATGAATTATTTATTTTTATTAAATTTGATTGTTCTATGCTATAGGGATAAGAGAGTAGAAGTTCCATTTTCATAGCTTGTTGGTTTCTTGGTCTGTTATTTGAGAATATCAGTGATACAATTATTGAACTGATGCAAGAAAGACATCAAAACCATATGGTAGGAGATCTTTGTCATTAGTCTGCATTTATTAAATTTAAAATACTTAGACTTCTACAGTTAGCTGCTGATAGCCATTAATTGGTACAAGAATAATAGTTTGGTAAATGGTAATTTGTTTAAACCTCTTAAGTCTATTTTCTAAGGAGGTAACAGTAGACTTCACTTTAGGAAGTCTCTGTAAGTTAAATATTATCTCTGTAAAGCTTAAATTTTGAGTGTAAAAATCCTGAGACTGGAGATACTTGTTGAGCAGTTCTATTCCACCTGTACAACATGTAAGTGTATTTTAGATAACGGGGTCCTCTTCTTTTTCTTCTTCCCTTTAGTGAGGACTCCTGTGAAGATATGAGTTGTGGGGAGGAGAGCCTCGGCGGCTCCCCTCAACGGGAGCAGGAGTGCGCTTTCTTCTTCAGCCTCGAAGTGGCTCAGACTCTGGGCTTTCCGTCTTAGAGATCTAACCATTCTGGGTCCGAATTTAAAGTGTGTGTACCAGTTTCAAAGCAATAAATGGGGTAGTCAGTGGTTTCCTGGTCCAGCTCCCATCTAGGCAGGAATTGCATAGCCTGGAATACCTACCTTCTATTTATTACTCAGATCGGATCTGGCCTATTTTCATATTTAATCCTAAGCCATCAAATGGGTTAGTGCCTCTTAAACAGTTAACAGTACTTTAGACATTGGCACTTTATTTTTCTCATTGATCTTTAGCTACTTGGGGGAGGAGGGAAGGTGCTGATACCTTCCACTTACTACTTTTTGAGAAGATTTTTAAAGATGAATAGTGTAGTTAAACTTTTTATAAAGCCTTCAGGTGTCTTTATGTAAACAGACGGGGAGTGTGCAGGTGCTTCCTTAGCAGGGACAATGGGTAATCCTTTACTGGTTTATCTTAGATCTCCCCCTCCCCCCACTCTCAGAACAGAGAATATACTCTTAAAATGTCAAACACCTTTTTGGTGATTTTTTTGTTTTTTAAGTGATCAATGTACTCTCTGACACAGACTTTATAAACTTAGGAATTACAATATTGACATTTTTGTGACTTTTAGTATGTAATGTCTTAACTTTGAGGTTTCTGCCAAAGCGGAAATAAGCAACATACTAATAAGGTTGTTAGACAGTTGCATTCCTAATGCCTAAGTGTTGTCAGACTACAGTATTATTTTAATGTTTTAAAAACAGTCCATGATCTGCTGGTTTTGCATGTACCTGTATGAGAGCAGTGCAGGAGGCTGAACAGAATTAGGTAACTATGAAATTGATAAATGTTGGTCTGGTAGCACATTTTATCTCATTTTCTTATATTAAAAAGGTCTGCATGATTACAGTTTATTTCCTTTGTCATTCACATTTCAGAAATAATGGTATTAGTATATGGGTGCCAAGACTGAATATGAAGTGTAAAAAAAAACTTAAGTGTTTGTAGTGTTATAGTTTTAAGCATATCTGTGTGGTGGTACAGCCATAAGAATAGGGATTTATAAACTCTGTGCACATGAGATTTTGTACAGAGAATTTTTTTTAACTTTATAAACTGTATATGAAAATGTAAATCTTTAAAAATGTACATAAAAATACTGTTATTTTTTTACCGTGTGTGATAGTCTAGTCATTGCATGTAAATATAATTTATTGTGTATTCTGTATTATAAATCGTAGTGATGACTTACTTTTTCTCTGGTAAGTCAACAGTCATTGGATGTTTTCTGAAGTGGATCTTTTTGAGATAATAATAGATACAGCTCAAAATAAAAATATTAATGAATTGTACTCCTTGTTTGCAGTTACTTCTTAATTTTTAATTTTTTGGTGGAAAAGAAAAAGTGCTTGTTATATATATTTCAGTGAGAAGGCTTGAAGTGAGGCTGGAGTATCTCCAGGATAAGCCCTCTCTTTGGTTGCAGAAGTCCCGTAGGTAATATTTCCTCACCAGTTTGGCCCTTAGCCTTGAAGATACTGAAAGTGAATCCGTCACTTGAGAGTTGACCTCTTTCTGGACTCAAATGAAACAGAAGAGTGTCATACTAACCCGAATGCCTGTTAGTTTATAGTGAAAGCCAGCAGGTGTCAAGTAACCCAGAATAGTCAGGCTGGTAGGTTAGCACAGTCTCTGCAGACAAGCCAAATTCTCAGAAGGTTGCTTACTGACCAGGCACTCGGGCAGTGAGCTCTGGACCTTGCCAGTCTCAGGCTTGTTTTGCAAGTAGTGACTTTTTTTTCCTTTTTTTGGCATGGTTTCTCCATCTAGTTTGGTTTTTGGAGACCTTTATTTTCTCTAGCTAGGTAGAAAATAAGATACACTGAATATGGTTTTCATGTAACTCCTCTTCTCCTCGGAGATATAAGGGTATGTTTCCCTACCCTCCTAGTGGAGAATCCAAACGATCCTCCCTCTCTTATTGAGTAATGTTGGCAAACAGTAGACAATATATTCTGCTTTCAGATTTTGATTTGTTGAGATGCACAAGCTATTTGTGGCTTTCCAAGTCTTGAACCCTCTTCAGTTCTAGGATTTTATTGCTTTTCTTACTAGATGATTTTTTGTGTGAATCTGTCCACACGTGACTTGATCTGTTCCCCTTTCTGGTTTTCCATATATTTAGAGCTCTTTACTGAGCTCCCAACCTGTTTATTCACAGCTAGCCATCTCACTGATTATTCCCAAAGTTCTGAATATTCCCAAACCTGCTTTTCATTTGTATTTTGGTGAATAGGCATTCCGTCTACTCAAGGTGGAAGCTTACGTGATATCCTCATTGCCTCTTGCCTGCTGCCTTCTGTCTGGAGGTCACCATTTATCATTCACACTGTATATGTCTGCTCTGTGCCACTGGCTTCAGTCAGACCTGTACTCTTATCAGCAGGGTCACTGCAATATCCTAATAATCTCTCAGTCTCCAGGCTTACCCCGATTCCCTTGGGTATATACCTTCTAAAATACGCAAATCCGTTAAAATATGCAAATTTGATTCTGTCCCTCCTGAAAAATTGTTCAGTAAGTACCTCTCAAGAGAGTCTATATCAGGACCTAGAAATCTCTTCCTAATCACAACACTGCACCTTTCTCTGGTCTTTTTTTTCCCTTACCTTTTCCTACAGCTGGAAAACGTGTGTTAAGAAAGTAACTGGCAGCTCTGTGGAAGGTGGAATGGAGCAGGTGGAGATGAATAACGGAATGGGGAGACCAGTCAGGAGTCCTGCAAAAATCCAAGAGATAATGAAGGACTGAACCAAGGCAATGGCAGTGGGGATGAGGAAGACAGGTGGGAATTGAGAGGCACTGTCCTTTCTCTGTAGGCATTATTAGTAAACTCACAGACAAGTCCAAGAGCCTGATTTTGCCCTTGGCCATTCAACCACATGGCTTTCCCATAACTGTGATGAGTAAAATTGAGAATCAAGCCTCCTGCCCCATTCACAGCAGAGGTGAGGAGAAGGCTACATTTTGGTCTCATACTTGCTCCTTGATTTGGCTCTTCAGGCTTTGATTCTGTCATTTCCTAGGATGTGGTGTGCATGCTTTGCTGCTTCTGCCATGTGCCATGTGCATGCTGAAGTGTGGCTCTCCCTGATCCCGTGGTCCCTGCCCATCCGACCTTCAGGAAGTGAGACTGGACAAACAATGTGTCTCGATCACCAGTTAATACTTAGGTTAAGTATAGAGGCATTGGTTGTAGAACACTTCTCATGACAATTTTAACCATTTTCTTTGTCTAGGTTCTGCGTTTTTCCTTCAATTCCTTTCATTTCACACTAGGTTTTACTGATGTTCCCTGCCTGCTTCCCACTTTCCCCTGCAAGTGTGCCATGGGTCAGCTTACTTAAGCCATCCACTTAGCAGATTCTTATATGGCCAAAACCTCTGTACTCTGCATTTGTCACTTTTCAGCTGAGTTTGTCTGATTATTTGTACCAGAAATGGTCAACAACTACTGACTTTGTGATTAGCAAATCAGATTGTGTGGTAGTTTCCCAATAGCCACACGTCCTCCCATCCCTGTACATATGTGCTGCTCTTCCTATCTAGAAGAGCAGTCTCCCCCTTGAACTTCAGCTGACCTTGTGCCTGGCTTTGCCTGCTAATGTGCAGTGGAAAAGTTCAGTGCGTGTCCAAGCCTAAGCTTCAAGAGGACTGGCAGTTTCCCTTTTATCCCTCTTGGAAGCCAGCCACCGTGCTGCAAGGCAGCAGGTTGGATTACCGAAAGAGAAGAGCCTGTGCAGAGAGACGCTCTTGAGGAGAGGAGCCATCTTGGATGTTCCAGCCTCAGCTAAGCACCCCACTGAATGCAGCTTGCATGAGCATCTTCAGCTAAACCACACTGGGCAGAGGAACCACCCAGCTGATCCCAATTAACCCACAGACTCTTGAAAAATAATAAATCATTGTTTTAGGCCACTAGGTTTTGGGTGGCTTATTATACAGCAGTAGATAACCGAGACAGGTTGCTTGTTATTTCTTGTCAAATGGTGGTTATCTCTGAATGGTGAGATTACAGACAACTTTTTTTTCTAATTATGCTTATCTGTACTTTCCTTTTTTTTAAAAAAAATGTATTTGAGTTATTCGTGTATTGACAGGATAAGAAGTGGACTCTAAAAACACACACACACTAATTATATCCTTTCTTTGATTAAACTCCTTAATGGTTTCCCATGGCTTCTTAGCATCAAGTTCAGACTCAACACAGCTTACAAGACCCTACTTGATTTGATCTTTGCTTTGTCTCAGGGCATCCACATCCACATACTTTCCAGCTTGACTGCATCTCAGCTCCTCCCACTCATCATGCTTTCTTTCCCTCTAGTGACTTCATATACACTTTCATCTGCTTGGAACACCTTTCCTGTCATCCTCATCTGGCAAACTCCTACCTATCACCTTAAGAGTTGCTTCATTCACTCATTTGCCCACCAGTTTTGAGTGCCTCTGTGTGTCAGGGACTACACTAAGTGCTTGATAAATAAAGCCAAACATAGCATGCAGTGTCCCTACTACCCTCATGCAACTTACAGTCTAATCCAGAACCAAACAATTTACAGCAAATGATACAACTTTTAAAGGTCGGCATGTATTTTCTTCCAAGAAGTCTTTGTGGAACTCCCTCACTTTGTTCTTGTCGTCAGTGCTGCATATTTCCATAATTCTCTATATGTTTCTTATCCTAGCAGTTAATACCTTCCTTGCTTGTCTGCTCACCTAACCTTCTGGTCTCGGAAGGCAGAGGCTGCCTTTCTGGCTCATTGTTGAATCTCCAGCATCCAGCACAGTATCTGGGCCAAACTCTTCCTACTCTGGCTGTTACTGGTAAAAAATAACCTCACTCTTCTCGTAGTATGTCCCAGGCACCTTACATGAATTATTTAGTCCTTCTCACAATGCTATTAGACAAGCACTGCTATTAGTCCCATTTTTCATATGAAGAAACTGAGGATTAGAGATGGACTTCGACACAAATCTGGTAAGTGGCAGGGGTATAACTCAAACCAAGTTTGTCTGCCAAACCCTGTGCTTTTAACCACAATGCTAAACCACTGCCCCAATGTGGATGGTACTCATTAAACAGTGGTTGAATGAATGAAATAATAAAAAAGAAAAGGTCTTATAAAGACAATCCCCCTCATAATACCGGTAAAATAAACCACAGCATCCTCCTGTTGTTCAGGTTTTAAGTGCTCTCACCCATGTAAAGGAAACGTGGCCAAGATTCAGAGTTAAAATGTCTTTAATTACCCAGGAACCACAGAGGGTAATGTGAAACCCAACGCAGGGTCGTGGCAGAGAAGATGAGGCCTCACCAAAAGCTGGTAACGTCTTTGTGCTCAGGCTGGTGGGCCCTTTCCAAAGCCCGAAGTCTAGTTCCTTTTACACGTAGGTTATAGCTGATATTTTACTCACTAGAGTTCCAAGGCCCATAGTCATTCGATGTTCATGGGGGTGGGACTTTGTAACAAAAGAGGACTGTTTTGTTAAAGGCTTGCTTGCCCTTTGCCTGTTTTACTATTAACCAACATAGCAATCATCTCCCACTTATTCATTTACTCTTCTGGGATTTTTTCCAATAATTGTTTCATGTGTCTGTGGTTTATCCTCTTGCCTAAACTCTAAGCTTCTTGTGAGAAGAGACTGTGTATTTTGCTTCCTTTATAGCCTTCAAGGTGCTGGATAAAAACATGTGTCAACATTTTTCTAAGTGTATCACTCCTGTTGGTGCCGTTTCCATTCCTGATTGCAGCAGTTCATAGTTCCTAAAGGTGAACTTCCATGCAGGCAAGGATTTAGGATTTCAAATCATTACTGGGACGTGCTGAGGGCCATAGCCCACTGCTACAATTACATGCACCTTATTCGAGAGTAAGATGTAGTTATCAGGAACACTGTCTCCCACCGAACTATCAGGGTTTGATCCTAGTCTGATCACTCACTATCTGAACTGATTAGCTGTTAACTAAAGTGTGCCTCAGTTTCTTCATCTGGATAAAGGGGTCAATAATGAATCAACCTGTGACGGACACAGAAATGTGCTGCCTAGATGCCCCAGCTGTTGGGAAGTCTTTTGGCACACAGCCTTCAGCTGATGGCCCCTTTGGGACAACTTACCCAGAGAGCAGCCTCATCCAAGGTCATGCCCTGCCCAGGAGGGCCTGCATCTGTTAGAGCAGGCAGAGAGCTAGATATGAGCAGAGAAAGGAGAACGCAGGCCAAATGGCAAAAACTGGGCAGAAAAAGAGGCATGGACTAAATGGCAGGAAACCATACATCTTGTGAACAA